GGTTCTGCGGGGTTTGGTGCGGGGTCCAGCCGGGCACAGCCCCAGCTCCAGCCCCGCGGGCGGCAGGCGCTGCCGGCGGGAGGAGGCCGCGCTCGGAGCGGGGACAGCGGGGTTACTGCGCTGATACCGGGGTGTCATGGGAGCGCTGCTGGGCCATGCCACTGCTGCTGGGCTGCTACTGGCGTGATACTGGCGTGCCATGGGACTGCTGCTGGGCTCTTACTGGGGTGATATATCATGGTGTTACTGGGGTGATACTGGCGTGTCATGGGGGTGCTGCTGGGCTGTTACTGGGCTGTTACATCGCGGTGTTACTGGGGTGATGCTGGCCTCTTACTGGGGTGTTATATCGTGGTGTTACTGGGGCATTAGTGCCCTGTTACTGGGGTATTATTTTCGTGTTACTGGGGTGATACTGGCCTGTTACTGGGGTGTTATATCATGGTGTTACTGGGGTGTTATTTCCGTGTTACTGGGGTGTTACTGGGGTGTTATATCGCGGTGTTACTGGGGCATTACTGGTCTGTTACTCGGGTATTGTTTCCGTGTTACTGGGGTGTTACTTCCGTGTTACTGGGGTATTACTGGGGTGCTATATCGCGGTGTTACTGGGGTATTACTGGTCTGTTACTGGGGTGTTATTTCCATGTTATTGCCGTGTTACTGGGGGTGTTATTTCCGTGTTACTGGGGTGTTACTGGTGGGCCATACAGGGCTGTTACTGCCGTGTTATTGGGATGTTATTGCCCTGTTGCTGGTGTGTTACTGGGGTGTTGCTGGCCTGTTACTGGCCTGTTACTGGCCTGTTACTGGCCTGTTACTGGTGTGTCATTGCCGTGTTAATGGGGATATTATTAGTGTGTTACTGGGGTGTTACCGGTGTGTTACTGGGATGTTGTTTGTGTGTTCCTGGCTTGTTACTGGGGTGTTACCCATGTATTGCCAGCATGTTATTGAGGTGTTACTGGTGTGTTACTGGTGTGTCTGGGAGGGGATGGTGTCACGGATTTAGCACTGCGTGGCTTAATTAGTTAATTAATTAGTGAATCACTGGTGGGGTGCGGGGAGGCTGGAGGGGGTCGGGCTCTGCTCCCAGGGAAGAGTGACAGGATGGAGCTGTGCCAGGGAGGTTTAGCTGGGATATTGGGAACATTCCCACCTGGAAAGGGCTGCCCAGGGCAGTGGTGGAGTGCCACACATGGATGTGGCACTTGGGGATGTGGGTTGGGGAATGGTTGGACTCGATGGTCCTGCAGGGCTATTCCAGCCTAAACAATTCCCTGATCCCGTGCTTTGGGCTGCGTGTGTTCCTTTTTTAGAGAGCTGCTTACTCGATCACCGCTGTGCTGTGTGTCCTTACCCCTCTCCAAACCCTGCAGTGCTGCTTCCAGGAACGGTGATGGGGCTGGAAGAGCACGCGGAGTCATTTCCTTGGTGATTTGTTTCCGCAGGGATGCAGTGGGGGAACCTGAACTAAACTCTGTGTGCAGAAGGGAAGCCGAACCTGGGATAAGCTGGAGCACAAATGTGGCGATTCCCAGGCTCAAAATGAACGGGAGAGCGCCAGGGCTTCACGCTGGAATATTCTGTAATGAAATAATGATTTTTCCAGCTGGCCAGCAGAGGTTAAAGGGAAGCCTGGGCTGCTTTCTGCTGAGCTCACCCTGCTCAAACGATCTCTTTATTGCAGCAGTTTGCAGCTCTCTGGATTGCAACACCTCCCCTTGTTCCGTGATTAAACAGCAGCGTGCTGCCCTTTGCTTTCTGTAAGAGGATTTCTAGAAGTGCAGGCATGGACCTTCCATGGCTCACTGGCACTGAGCTGGGAATGTTCTGGGCCAGAAGAGTCGCTGGAAAACAGCAAATCATCCTTACAGGAGTTTGAAACATCGTGCTGGGGACTGGAGCCTGTGTGTCTGATGTTCCTTAAAAGGCTTTTCTGTGCCTTTTTTCCGTGTCCTTGTATTGGGCAGGAATTGTTCCCTGTGAGGGAGGTGAGGCCCTGGCACAGGTGCCCAGAGCAGCTGGGGCTGTCCCTGGATCCCTGGAAGTGTCCCAGGCCAGGCTGGACAGGGCTTGGAAAACCCTGGGATGGTGGGAGGGTGGCAGGGGTAGCTCTGGGTGGGCTTTGAGGTCCCTCTTACCCAAACCCTTCTGTGTTTCTAGGATCCTTCAGTTAAACCCCAGAGGGGCCTCTGACAGCAGCTCATGCATCTTGCAGTGTCTTTTTGGAAGGTTTGGTCTTGGCTGCTTCCAGCTGTGTAATATTGTAAGTTTAGATAGAAAAAAGCTCCTCAGAGGGGTTGGTTGGTTGGGATTTCGTGGCTGTAGCTGCTGAGGAAGGACGTTCTGTAGCAGTTTAACAGATTTGTGTTACTAGCAGGAGTAGCACAGGGCTGGTACGGGGCTGCTCGGGGAGAAAAATACTCCTTGTTAATCTCTTTTACTCCACTGAACCAGTTCTGCCCAGAGCTGGGGCTGCTGTTACTGCAGAGCACGGGGCTCTGTGTCCTCAGTACAGGACCAGGAATTTGGGGAGCTGAGGAGTGAATTTGGGGAGGTGAGGGCTGTGAATCCAGGGAGGTGAGAGCCGTGGGCTCAGGGAATTGAGGACTGTGGGATCCTACAGTGTCACCTCAGGGCTGTGAGTTCCACCAATATCTGATAATAAAAGAACAGAGATTTCATCTCTCATCCACTTCCCAATCCTGTTTGGGGCTGCATTTGTTCTGCCAGGGGGCTGAGGTGTCAGTGTGGGCTCTGTACCCCGAGTTTCAGCTGGTCCTGACAGGGCAGGGGATGGGTTTGGGGATGCGTTCTCTGGTACAGCTGCTCCTTTATGTGGGTCCTGGGTGACTGCAGGGACAGACAGTGGTTTCCTGGTGCTGGACACTCAGCTGATTGCTCAAGAGGTGTTTGTGATTCCAGGCTGTGCCCTGGTGTTGCTCCACGGGCCTGGGGCAGCCCTGGGCTGGCCAAAGTATCCAGTGGCTCTGGAGGGACAGGAGGGTGCAGTGAATTCCCTGGGCTTAATTAGCTCACAGTGTTACTTAAGACAGGAGCATTTTGACCTTAAAATGAGCCAAAGTGGAGCTGAAACATAAAGGAATAAGCAATTCCTTGGAAGCTTCCTGCAGGAGCCAGCACCTCCACCTGATGAGCAGCCAAGGCAGAAACCAGACCCAACAAGTTTATGAGGATGGAAGAAAACTAAACCTTGGATCAGTCCAATTAAATGCTGCTCACAGCAGAGGGAAGGACAACCCCAACAGCCAGGAAAGCTGGGGCTGCCCCTGGATCCCTGGAAGTGTCCAAGGTCAGGTTGGATGGGGTTTGGAGCAGCCTGGGATGGTGGAAGGTATCCCTGCCATGGGGATGATCTCGAGGTCCCCTTCCAATCCCAGCCATTCCATGGTTCTGTTCCCCCTGGCAGTGCTCCCAGGTGTTTGTGTGGAGTCTGTCCTGTGAATAAATCCCTGACTTTCTCCTCTTCCCCTCCAATGCTGGGCTCAGGCCTGTGGGGGGTTTGGAGATGCCCTGGTCACTGCTGGCCAAGCCTGGATCTGTGGAGCTCAGCCTGCCCTGGTGAGCCCTGCTGGGGTTGGATCTCCCTTCAGCGCCTCCTTAATCCAGAAGAGATCCCTAATTGTCACCAGGCAGGGGGAGGGAAGGTCTGGGTGCAGGAGCTCACAGCATTCCTGCTCTGGCTGTTCCAGAGAGGTCTCCTGGGGGTTTGAGATAGATCCTGCCACACCTCTCAAGGCACAGAACACAGCAGGGAATAAGCGGGGCCTAAGTGCAAAGTGAAAAACGAGATTTTTTGGGTTTTGCAGCATCCTAAGTCCTTCCCTAAGCAGAAAAGAGGCTTATGGATGTGCGGGATGAGAAGGGCAGCTGTGCCAGCTGGGCTCTGCCATGTGCTCCATGTGTCAGATCTGGCTCTGGCCCTACATTAATGTGCTGATGCCTGAGCTGATTAAGAGTGTCCCTTTCTGTGGCAGCAGGGGTGATTTTCCAGCTCTGGAGACTTAGGGAATCCCACAACGGTTTGGGTTGGAAGGGAGCTTAAAGCTCATCCAGTTCCAGCTCCCGCCACCTTCTGCTACCCCAGGTGGCTCCGAGCTTCATCCAGCCTGGCCTTGGGCACTTCCAGGGATCCAGGGGCAGCCACAGCTTCCCTGGGCAGCCTCAGCTCTGCCACCCTCACAAGGCAGAGGTGATAAAACCCCTTTTTCTGGAGGGTTTTGTGTCGTCGTGAGCAGAACCTAAAAGGGGAAGTGAGAGAACTTTGTGGTGTCCTGGCTGAGTGCTGGCCATGTCCTGCTCCCTGTGCCAGGGGACACTGTGCAGGCGCCTGTGCCACCCTGCAGATGCCTGTGGCCAGCTCCTGATGTCACCTGGTTTGTCCCCAAGCAGGAGAGCAGCCATGGCCATCCTGTTTGCTGTCGTGGCGAGGGGCACCACCATCCTGGCCAAACACGCCTGGTGTGGGGGGAACTTCCTGGAGGTGACCGAGCAGATCCTGGCCAAAATCCCATCCGAGAACAACAAACTGACCTATTCCCATGGCAAGTGAGTAACCCCTCTCCTTGGCTCTGGGGGGCCTTGTGGGGCTGCATGAGGGCTGGGACAAACTGGGTGTGTTTGGGGATTTTTTCTGTGATTCTGCAGTTTTTTTCCATCCAAATTCCCGTTTGGTGGAATGTGCCATCAGCTCAGTGGCTGCTTCTGTCCCCCACAACTCTGCAGCATAACCAGGATTTGAGTTCAGCTCCAGCAGCAGCGCAAGGCAGTCGGTACAGAACCAAGTTTTTCATTTTTATACAATTCCAAAGTGAGCTGGAGGGTGCCCAGCTATGGAATCTTTGGAGTTTGGGTTCTGGAAGCTTCCCCTGGATTTTCTGAGCCTTGAACGTGGCTTTAGGTAAAACTGTCACCCTTCTTGGGCTGCCTGTGGCTCCTGGGGGCTCTGAGACAAGCTGTGCTCACAGATGATCCCAGATCCAGCCTGCAGGACAGAGGGGCTTTCCCAGGATTTTTCCAGCTCTCTGAACCCTTCCTTTGTCAGTGTTGATAGGACAGGGAGGAGATGCTCCATCACCCTGCACGTGGGAAGTGGGTGAGTCAATGGGAACAAACTAAAATAACCGTGGAAATCCCAAATTTAGAGGTGTTGGGGCCCATTCCAGCTCTTTTTTTTTTGGAATTGGCAGCGTGGCTGGATCCTCTCTGGTGCCCAAGCTGTTGTGTCAGAGCTGTTCTGAGGATGCAGGAGATGAGAGCTGGGCTGGGCTGGGCTCAGGAGCACAGCCAGTCCCTGTGGGAGCTGTTTGGGAGGCACTGCCTGCTCTGGAGCCTGACACACCTTGGATGCTGCAGCTCTTCCCTCCTGCTGGAATTCCAAGGATCAATTTCAATATTTTAAGTTACTCCTATAAGTGAAAGGAAATGACTTTGCCTTGATTTGTTCAGCCAAAAGTTGAGTTTGAGGAGTGCTGCAGTGCATTTTTAGAGGTACCTGGGCAGAATGTGGGAGCTGTGAAGCTCAATGAGAATTCCTTGGAATTCCTCCTGTCTGGAGCCTCCCAGGGATCCTCTGCCTTGCCAGGGTCCCAGCCTATAGGCTAAAAAACTCTCTGGATTCTGTCCAAGATAGTTTCTCCTCTTTTGAAACAGGAAAAACTTGAGTTTCTTTGAACTTCTTAAATTCATTTAATGAGTTCTTCTTGTTTTTAAGAAGATCTACTGTGTCTTTTGTATAAATCCCCGAGGAAAAGCATCAGGCATCAGGAATTCTTCGGTTACTCTCTCTCTGCTGTTGGGATCCTTCTTGGACTCTCTGAAGAGTCTGCAGGGTGGAACCAGACGAGTTTCACCTCACTCCTTCCAGGGGAGTTGTGGATGCAGAAGGATTTTTGAATTCTACTGTGGGAGCAGACCCTCATGGCAGAGACCTCTGCCCCAGCCTCGCTTCCCTGGACGTGTTTATCTGTGCTGGGATTTACTCTTGCCAGCCC